ACTAACACGTCCGTCACCATCTCTTTCATTAACACATATATATTCCGTTTTACTTCGGCTGACATTCATCCCTCGCCTCTCTAGGGCATGCCTCCATCTTTCTAGCTCTTGTATGGTTTCTTCATTATCCTCAGTGCACAGTACGATGTCATCAGCAAATAACATTGTCCACGATGCTCCTTTTCTTAGGCCCTCTGTCAGCGTGTCCATGATTATGGCGAACAAGAAAGGGCTCAAGGCCGACCCTTGGTGTAGTCCAACCTCCACTTTGAAACCTTCCGTCGTACCGACTGCGCATCATAATCATAATGATAATAATAATGATGATGATAATAATAACAACAACAGTAATAGTTATAATAACAACAATAATAATAAGAAGAACAATAGTATTGATAATAGTAATAATAATAATAAAATTAACAATGGTAATAATAATAACAGTAATAATGATAGCAATGAGGATCATAATAATAGCAATAATAACAAAATAATAATCATAACAATAATAATACTAATAATGATAATAACAATGATGATAACAATAACGAATAAAGAGTAAAGACAGAGACACCCGATGCACCATCGACCATCCGCTCAGCGCCTGAGATCGGTCCCGCGGAAGCAACGCGATGCGGCCAGCCTTCCTCCCTGCGATTTACGCTCACGGAAAAACGTACGGCCGAACATTACCGCAAGTACTGAGCGCATCACCTGACGCCATTACAAGGCCGCAGACAATATTCGAACACAAATCTCCTGTGATTTTTCCTATAACTTTCACCTTACCATTGCAAGTGAATGTATTTCTCACTGTCGCCTCGTCCCGACTGTCAGATAGACGTTCTGAAATGTTCGACGGACTTGGCTGTTGAGGCTAAAGGCGGGGACATTTTTCACGATAACACGGTTGCATTATGTAGGGTGGAAGAGGGTGTGGGGGGGGGGGGATGAAGGCGAGAGGGGCATTGGGGAGGTGGTGGGCGAGGAGAGGAAGGTGGGGGAGGTGGGGGAGAGGAGAAAGAAAAGATGGGGATGAGGGCGATAGTCGGGAGGAGGGGGTGGGGGAGGGCGTGTAAGGAGAGGACGGGGAAGAGGGGAAGGAGGGAGAGGAGGGGGAGAGGTAAAGGAAAGAGAGGAGGGGGAAGAGGGGAAGGAGGGGGAAGAGGAGAAGGAGGGAGAGGAGGGGGAGAGGGGAAGGAGAGAGAGGAGGGGGAAGAAGGGAAGAAGGGGGAAGAGAGGAAGGAGGGAGAGGAAGGGGGAAGAGGGGAAGGCGGGAGGGAAAGGGAAGGGAAGGGAAGGATTGCCGGGTACACGAAGGGGAAGAGTGAACGAGGCGGAGGGTTATGGAAATGGGTGTAAAGGCATTAAGCGAGAGTAAGGCGGGGAGTGAAGGCGCTCCATCATGGAGAGAGGCAGAAGAGGAGAGAAAGAAGAAGGGAGAAGATGGATGGAGAGGATAGGAGAGGAAAGGAAAGCAAGGAGATGGAAGAGAGGGATGGAGAGCAAGAAGTATTGAGAGGAAGGAGAGGAAAGTCGAAAAGGAAAAGGGAAGATGAATAACAGAAAAAAAGGAGAAAGAGAAGAAAGATGAGAAGGGAGAGGAAGAAAGGAGGATTGAAAAGAAATGAGAGGAAAACAGGAGAGCAGAGAATGGAGAGGAAAAGAGAGAGAGGAGAAAAAGGAGTGAATGTAGCATTCCCTCTTTTTTTCTTTTATCTTTTATATCTAATTTGCTCGCTTATCTAATTCACGAAGCTTTCAGTTTGAAATCAGTAAATCATAAAACCTTCACACTCAGTATTTCTATTATTCACCATTTTTTATACTTATATTATTGTTTATTGGTTCAGGTAGACACAAAAATAGCTTTTGGTGTAAATGTCTTATTATTTTTAATGTTTTTTTTTGTTTTAACTGTTATTACTGTTACTATAATTGTTAACATTTTCACTTATCCTTATTATCATCATCATTATTATTATTTTCATTATTACCATTTTCATAATCATTATTATTATTATTATTATCATTATTATTATTGTTGTTGTTTTGTTATTATTATTATTATTATTGTTGTTGTTTTGTTATTATTATTATTATTATTGTTGTTTTGTTATTATTATTATTATTATTGTTGTTTTGTTATTATTATTATTATTATTGTTGTTTTGTTATTATTATTATTATTGTTGTTTTGTTATTATTGTTATTATTATTGTTGTTTTGTTATTATTATTATTATTGTTGTTGTTTTGTTATTATTATTACTATTGTTGTTGTTTTGTTATTATTATTATTACCTCCGCCAAGGAGGTTATGTTTTTGACGGCGTTGGTTTGTTGGTTAGTCTATTTGTTAGCAACCTAGCTCAAAAAGTGCTGGCCGGATTTCATTGAATTTTTGGGGACAAGTCAGAAAGGGACTAACTTAGAACTGATTAAATTTTGGTGACATTCCGAATTACCGTCTGGTTATTATTATTATCCTCATTAATTAA